TTTAGGCATTGTCACGGGTAACCCCCGGGTACTTCCGGCCTTACCCATACCCTTACCCCTGGAAACCCGTACCCTCAACCACGGGTAGGGGTTTTTGTGGGTAAGGGTATGGGTTTGGCGGGTCTTACGGGTCTTACGGGTTTAGCACCAATGACCATGTTACTTGGTAATGTAACATACAAATCTACTTAGTAATGTAACATACAAAACACTCCCTTTATCCAACGTCGTCCCTCTACAGTGTACGGGCAGAAGGGGCAAACGGCGACGACACGCCCAAATATGCCCCGAGCTCGTCGTGTTCACATTTGAGGAACGCAAGCTGCTGGTGATGCTTGCTCTCATCATTTGCAATCGTCGTTTGCCGTCGTAGTTTGCCATCATCGCTCGTAGCCATAAAAAAGAAGAAATGGATAGGAAGAGAACAAGAGGGAGGGGAGAAAAAGAAGGGGAAAAAAGCGCACCAACCTGATTCATCAACACCTTCCATTCAACCCCGCAGCCACCAAATCGTCCAACGTGTTCTCGAACCACTTCTTTTCACAGACTACGGCATGGAGGAAGTCCGTTTTGTTGATGTGTGGTGCCTGTGCAAATTAAGTGGTGATCAGCGAGTGAAGGAGCAAAGGGAGGAAGGAGAAATGAGGGACGAGGAAGGGTGAAGTGAGGGGGAAGGAGACTTGATAGAGGGAAGTGGACTTGAGAAGAAAGCGGCTCCGAAAGGGAGCGCAAAAGGAAAGAGGTTGCGAGAGGGGGTGGAAGATACACCTATTTGACATTCCCTGCCCATGGACCAGTGGGTCCTACGTCGTCGTTCCGTGGTTGTCCCGTGTCTCAGCGTGGTGGGTTGGAACGAACGTGGGATGGGCGCACTTCCGTTCGTGGCCGTCGTTTGCGAGCGGTGGTGGATGGTGGTCGTCGGTTTTGCCTGGTGGTGGTTCGTCTTCGTTTATGTGCGGTCGTCTTCGTTTTTTGGGCGGTCGTGCTGGCGGGAAGGTCGTGGGTTGTCATCGGCTTTGGGCGTTGTGTCGTGGTGGTCGTTGCCGGCGTCGTTAGGTGAGGTGTGACGTGGCGTTGCTTGTCACTGTTCTTAGGGTGTGCAGTGGTTGGGGGCGGTGGATCGATAGTTGCAAGTGGTGGTTGTTGGTGGTAGTGGTGACGCAGGTGATGTGGATGGTCGATGGTGATGCTGGTTGAGAAGAGGTGCGCACAAGCTTGTGGATCCTCTGAAGTCGACGAGACTGCCGATGCGCAATCGGCCTTTCTCGATTGAGGATCCTAAAAAAAGTGAAATCAGATTAAAATGAGGGGTGTGGAATGAACCTTGACATGGTTTTGGGCCTGTTACAACGATGAGGTTTCAGCAAGAGGGGAAAGAGGAGATAAATTGGGAGTGACCTTTGCATTTGGCGCGAGCGGACAACGCGTACTCAAGATGATAGCCAAAAGGTTTCTCAGCCATTGTTGGGGAGGGAAGGAAGAATTGAAGAAAATGTTTGTTTGTTGAAGCATATGATGGTCCCGGCAAACACCGCTCACACACAATAAATACTGTCTAATAATGTGGCGGTTTTGTGGCGGGTAACCCGCCAACCCGTGCCAAGGGTACAGGTACGGCGAGGGTCAGATATATCTAACCCGTACCCCTACCCACACGTACCATTACCCGCAACCCGCACGGGTTGCAAAACCCGTGACAATCACTAGGTATTTTGCACAGGTCAATTACTACGCTAGCGCTGGCAACAAAGCGACATCCAACGCAGCGATTCCCGAAAAACCAAACTCAAGTGTTCGGTTCACAGGACGGACCGACATTCTTGCAAAACTGAAGGACCATTTGACTGCCGAAAGCAACGATAAACTCCGCCCTCGAAAATTCTTTTTGTTGTATGGTATGGGGGGTATCAGGAAGACTCAGATTTGTTTGAGGTTCATTGAGGATATGTCTGGCTAGTAAGTACTCCATCATATTACTTAGTCCCTGTTTCCGATTGGTCCACAGCTTTTCACATGTTTTCTGGATTGATGCCTCTTCAGTTGGTACGATTACTCAGGGACTGAAGGGAATCTGCAACCTTCCTGAGGCTCAGTCTTCTGCTCTGGATGGTTCACCTCAATCTGCTTTACAGTGGATTAGCTCTCTGAGAGGAAACTATGCAATGGTCTTTGATAATGCTGATAATCTGATGCCTGGGGAACTTGAGCAATATTTTCCATCTGGGCTAGGGGGGAATATTCTGATAACTAGTCGCAACTCTGGCCTAAAACATTTGACTTTACATGAGAGTTCTCTTGAGGTGAAAGAGATGGAAGAAAATGATGCCATCTCTTTACTCTTAAAGGCTGCTTGGTTGGATGAGTCTCAGGAAAGTTTGCAAGCTGTGGCTTCCAAGATTGTGAATGAGCTCTTTTGCATTCCTCTGGCTATTGATCAGGCTGGCGCTTTCATTGCATTTGGGGGCAGAGACATAAGAGACTATCTTGATGAATATTCTCAATACAGAGAGAGATTATTATCTTACCCAGCTTTCAAAGGGGCATCTAAGTATAACAGAACTGTGTATGGGACTTGGGAGTTATCATTCAAAGAAATTCAGGCAAGAGCTAAAAGTGATGATCCTCAAGAAGCTGATGCAGCTAAGAGTGCAATGTTTCTGCTGGCAATCTTTGCCTTCTTTCATTTTGATGGTATTACAGAAGAAATCTTTTCTTATGCTGCTACTCAGGAATATGGAGATAATGACCAGGGGTCAGCCTTGCCTCTTGCAACCTCCATAATAGACCACACACTGCTTCAGCTTCACAACACAGGAAAATGGGATAATTACATCTTCAAAGAGGGAATTAGAGTATTACTGTCTTTTAGCCTAATCAAACTGGTTTCATCCAAAGGCATCTATACCATGCACCCACTTATTAATGCATGGGCAAGAGACAGAATGTCCTCAGAAGATAGACAGAAATACTGTTTGATGGCATATGGAATGTTAGCTTGCTCTTTGCCAGAAGACTTCAATGAGCAGCCATATCAGTTCAGAAGGATTTTAGTCACTCATTTGAGAGCCAATATACAGCATAGTCTCATGACAAAGAAGGAAATGGTTGATAAATACTTTGATGATGCTCATGAAAAAATTGGGAAATTGTTGAGTGAGCAGGGGTATTTCAGTGAGGCAGAAAAGTTTCAAATTCTAGTGCTGGATGCAAGAAGCAGAACTCTTGGTGAGGAGGACCCAGATACGATCAGAGCCATGGGTAAACTTGCAACTACATATAGAATTTAGGAAAATATGCAGATGCAGAGAAACTTGACATGAAAGCTCTAGATATGAAAAAGAGACTTTTTGGAGAAGATGACATAGCTACAATTTGGTCCATGGCTAATCTTGCAATTACATATAGTGAGGCTAGGAAAATATGCAGATGCAGAGAAGCTTCAAATCAAAGTTCTAGATATGAGAAACAGACTTCTTGGAGAAGATCACCCAGACACAATCTGGGCCATGGGTAATCTTGCAATTACATATAAGAGGCTAGGAAAATATGCAGATGCAGAGAAGCTTGACATCAAAGTTCTAGATATGAAAAACAGACTTCTTGGAGAAGATGACATAGCATACAATCTCAGCCATGCATAATCTTGCAAATACATATAGGAGGCTAGGAAAATATGCAGATGCAGAGAAGCTTCAAATCAAAGTTCTAGATATGAGAAACAGACTTCTTGGAGAAGAGCACCCAGACACAATCTGGGCCATGGGTAATCTTGCAAGTACATATAGGAGGCTAGGAAAATATGCAGATGCAGAGAAGCTTGAAATCAAAGTTCTACATGTGAGAAACAGACTTCTTGGAGAAGATCACCTAGATACAATCTGGGCCATGGCTAATCTTGCAAACACATATCAGAGTCTGGGAAAATATGCAGATGCAGAGAAGCTTGAAATTGAAGTTTTAAATATGAGAAACAGACTTCTTGGAGAAGAGCACCAAGATACAATCTTGGCCATGAATAATCTTGCAAATACATATAGTGGTCTAGGAAAATATGCAGATGCAGAGAAGCTTCAAATCACAGTTCTAGATATGAGAAACAGACTTCTTGGAGAAGAGCACCCACATACAATCTTGGCCATGGGTAATCTCGCAAGTACATATAGGAGGCTAGGAAAATATGCAGATGCAGAGGAGCTTGAAATTGAAGTTCTAAATATGAGAACCAGACTTCTTGGAGAAGAACATCCTGATACAATCAACGGAATGGAAGATCTTGCAATCACACATTTCCATCTAAAAAGATACACAGATGCAGCCAGGCTGGAAGTCCAGGTTGTGGATGTAAGAAAGAAGATTCTTGGAGAAGAACATCCAAAAACAGTTGAAGCAGTGGCATTCCTTGCACAAATTAGATCTCAAGCCAACGCAGATACTTCAGGAACTGAATCAAAGAAACAAGGTTAGTGTTATCTACTCTAGAATCTGGTCAATTCACATGTTTACAATGTTAGTTCACCATTTTTCCACAATTGCAAGTAGGCTTTCCAAAATATTGAAGAGAAAGGTATTGCAATATTCCAACATTTCTCATATTATAGATTCTTATTTGGTTTTTCAGTAGTTAGTGTAACATATCCCTGGGGCCCTTGAGCACTGCAGGCTTCTTATGTAGCAGGCATTGGCTTGTAATTATAGGAGCCAATTGAAAGTAATGGTAGGTTTTTGCTAAATATTGACCATTGAAATTTCAATCATGGTGTCGTAAACACTACCATAGCTCTATCCAAAAATATTCCCTAGAAGAGGGGAGGTGTGAGAACATATTCAAGCAAACTCAGATTGAGAAAACCGGCAAGGCCAAGGAAAACTACTATGCCAGAGGTGAGAAATTGGGGTGATTGCAAGGTTGGGATAGAAGAACAGATCATTTACTCAAAAGGCTCACAGATGACAGTAAAGAGGAAAGGAAGAGCAAGAGGGCTTGAATAAGGGAGGGGGCTCTACCAATTCCATTTCTTGTCTTCATCTTGAGCCTTGGTATTGGAGGGTCTTGTTGTCAGTTTGTTTGAAGGTTTCATGCCCCCATCCAGCTGGGAGGGCATCAAGGTCATGTGCGGTTTCTTGGAATCAGGGGTCATAACACTTGCAATGCGTATAGTGCCATCATTATCGTCATCAAGAAGGGAAGGGGATAAAGGTGAGGTAGATAGAGGCGTGCTCAGCATAGGTGAGATTGGTGGAGCTGACCCGATTGGTGTGGTGAGAGCATTCCATGCAGAGATGATGCTTTGTGAGACATCTGATAGTAGCACGGATGCTTGTTTTTGACTTTTGGTGAAGCTGTATACAGAGTTACGTGACATCAGTGTTACAGGAAGGAACCAGGAGAGACAAAAGGAAGCCAAACAGACAAGGTCAAACCAGGACCTGGGACACTTTGTGCATTGAAAAGCAGGCCTGTCCAAGAAGAGAGTCCAATGGAAAAAGGAGAGAGATACATACGTAGGACTATCCCTCAAATCCCCCAACGTCTTACCCACACTACCCATCCATGTTGTCCCTCCACCCATCAAGATGCCTAGGCCAGAGATAGATGAAGGTGGAGGAAGTGAACCCACTCCACCCCCAACCCTCCCATTGGTTTGTGCCACATGCCCATGACCATTTGTGTTGATGGTCGCCTGCATATTCCTGTTTGTCTTCCCCCTGCCACTACCACCACCCTCAACGTTTGTGAGACCCTCAAACTCAGGGAGCAGTGACAGTACCCTTGAGCTCCCTACTGAACTTGCAGTAGTGGTGCTTGCCATCAACCCAGGCTCGATGGCCGACAACCCACTGCTCCAATGCAGGGGGATGACATCTTTTGATTTCCGCTGGCAGACTTTGGAGGTCTTATCAGTGCCCCCCCTATTCCTGCAGGATTCCGGTCATTCCTGTGGATTCCAGTGGATTCCAGTGGAATGAAATTTAGCAGTAAGCCCTGCTAAATTTGTCATTCCTGTGTTTTCTCATTCCAGTGGAATCTGATCATTCCGGAATTTACACTGGAATGGTCCCCAGAATGGTCTTCCCCAGAATGAGCAGGAATCGTCGTAATGGCAGGTTCCAAGGGTAAGGAGGCATTTCATAGGCCTCTGCGCCAACTCAAAACTCCGCCAGGAAAAGGACCAGCTCTGCTGAGCCTTTTCCCCTTGAGCCCCGCTCGTCAATCATGGTTGTGACATCAATCCCTGACTCAGTGCCAAAGTTTGGCAGATGCTGGGTTAGGAGAAGTTATTGGTGTTGCTTCCCTCTCCTGTGCTGGTGCTCTCTCTCTCAGACCACGTCTATCCAGCACAGGTAAGCGCTCCGCGCTCTCTCTCTCTATGCACCGCATACTCATCCAAGTGAACAGTGATCCTCGCTTCTAGGCTTTGCCTATCGTTTTCTATAAACGCACTCTCATCACTCTTCATTTGGTGAGGCCTTTCTTCATATTGAGCTTTGTGCACATTCTTACATCCTGCTGGCTCAGACTTTGTCTGCTAGACTCGGATTGTAAGAAGCATCGTAAAACCTCGCTCAGCTCAATGCTCACGTATCGTGCCTCCTGCAGAATCTCTTCAGATTTTCTCTGGCTATCTGCTCGCTTCCCTTGCCATCCAACCTCCTTTCTTTCAGTCACACATCGCCATTCGACCTCACCCAACATCTCCTTTTCAATGACCGATGTTGGCACTGAAGCAACTCGGCAACGTGCTCAAGCCCTTGAGTCTATCGTTTCCGACGTCGTGGAAGGACAGTTGCTCCTCTCAGATTTCGCAAAACGTCTCCAAGACGCAGGCGCATCCCCAGCCGAGGGCGAAGACTACTTACAACAACTTACCCAACGACTGGAGCAGCAAAAGAAGGACAGAGAGGCTGACGAACAGCCAGACATTCAGTCTGGAGAACAAGCAGCCCGAGAATTGACTCCTGATGGCCTTGACGAGGCTCAGGCAGTCGAGTTTCGCGCTCCTGGAAGAGGTTCGTGCTCAAGAAGCCACTGATCGTCGTACAGCGGTCGACACCGCTGCATGGGCCATCCTCAATGCTAAGCTCTCTCGACTGGCGAGTTCACAGGTCCCCAGTGATGCTACAACCATTCTCTCGGCCGATGATCTCGCGAAACTACTCGGAGTCGAACGTTCAACCCCCCAGTCCTTGCCGGCTACTGTTCTCGCTCTCGCTCCACATCTGGCTGAGCTCTTGACTTCTGCGATCTCTGACCCCCACATCGAGGAAACCTGGAAGTTACGGCAGGCAATTGGGACAGACAAGACCATCGATTCCCTCGTCAATCTCATGCAGGTACAGCTGCTTGCTGATCCCATTCCCCGTTCCATCTGGCGCTCAGTCATTCAGGATCACTTCGTCGATTTTGAGAAACTCTTCGCCTCGATGGACAAAGGGTACGACCACAACGATGAGCCTCGAGACTTTGGCGGGGGCTATGCACTCATCAAGAAGGAACAAGCTTCGGCTAAGCGCCCCCTTCGATCCGAATCCGAATGGCTTTGCATCTTTGGAGCTTGGAGCTCTGCCGTCGTTCTCGTTTATCGTCACCGCTCTTCAGAGCTTCAGAGCTACCAGTGCATGGTCACTGACCTATTTCGTGCAGTACCTCATGACCCGTCAATTGCCATCGCTTTCGACATCGAAGCTCGCGATCGCTATGCGAAAAGTCCTTTCCGCATGGACGACCGGACTCAACTTAACGTGCCGCTTTTGGCGCGCATGTTCCAAAGTACTAGCCCATCTTCCAAGAAGCGCAGCAATACATTGCCTTCGACAAGCTCTCCCTCAAAGTGTTCGACGATTCCTTGCCGGAATTGGAACATGGGCATTTGCGACGCCCCTTGCCCGAATGGGTGCAGGCATGGGATTTGCAGCGAGTGTGAAGGCCAACACCAAGCAAAAGACAAACCTGTCTGCGATACTCTCATCCAAGCTCGACAAAGAAAGGGAGCTAGCGGAGGCTACTCAGAGAGCAGCAAAGGCAAGGGAAGGGCCTAGGACTATCAACTCAGGGTTGAAACGAAAGCTTGATACCCCACTCATAGATGTACCTCGCTTTCAACATCGTTATGTATGGTCTAACTCAACCAATAAACACCTCTCCCCTGCTGCCCTTTACACTGAATCTGCACCTCCTCTCCCTTCACCTCCTGCTCACCTTTTGCAAGACCAAAAGATTCAAGCCTCCCTCCTCGCTATGCGGGATCACATCAAGGTCAACACGCCTTTCAATGTCAATAAACTTGAGTCCATGCTCGCTGATCATCCAAACCAACCTTTTGTCAAATCAGTCATGACAGGTCTTTGGGATGGATTCTGGCCTCTCGATGACGGAGAATGGAAAGTCGAACTTGAAGAAGTCATTGACAACTATTCTACCGATGAGGGTGATCTCGATGCCATCTGCAACTTTCGAGACAAAGAAAGATCTGCCGGTCGTTGGTCCGATGAGCTCTCTGACTCCGAACTCTTGCCAGGGATGAAAATGTCTCCTATGTTCATTGTTTGGCAGAACGGTAAAGCTCAGGTTGTCACAGATCACTCAGGCTCTGGAATAAACGATGGTATTCCAAGATCTGAAGCCAAAGTTCGCTACGACGACATGCACCCCTTTGGGCAATCTCACTTCAGTCACCCACTGCCAACTGACTATTAGTCATGCAAACTCCACGTAAGTTACATGACTAAATGTCATGGACCATATCTATATTCTAGATATATATGGGTCCTAGAAAGCCCTGAAATCTAAAATATATTCTTGACACGTGGACCCTGAAATGTCACACAAAAATTATAATGTCTGTGTCACACCACCAAAATATATTTTGCAAGTGAAATGCAGTAAGGATATATTTTTGGTCAGTGGACCCTGAAATGTCACTGTCACACTTCAGTCACCCAGTGCCAACTGACTATTAGTCATGCAAACTCCACGTAAGTTACATGACTAAATGTCATGGACCATATCTATATTCTAGATATATATGGGTCCTAGAAAGCCCTGAAATCTAAAATATATTTTTGACACATGGACCCTGAAATGTCACACAAAAATTATAATGTCTGTGTCACACCACCAAAATATATTTTGCAAGTGAAATGCAGTAAGGATATATTTTTGGTCAGTGGACCCTGAAATGTCACTGTCACACCTTAGAAATATATTTTTGCCCTGGCTTTGCCTTAGGATATATTTTGTGAAACAGATGTGGTAAGGATATATTTTTCTGGTCTGTAGTGGTGTCAGGGGTCCTAGTTTCAGCAAAAAACTTGTGATTTTTTTTGCTGTCTGGAGTATATATTCTGGAAGATTCTGCAATGACTTCCAGGGGTTTTGGCACTATGTCTAGCTGTGCTCCCAGTATGTATGTAGCAATAAGGGGCATCAATAGCATCTGTGATATACCTGAGTTGCTTAAGTATTATCCACTTCCAATCACACTATGAATACAGTTCACATTACAGATTCATTCATTCTCCTTCAACAATTTTGGGCCTCAATGACATGTATTGAATCACCTTGAAGCTATTCAGTCCAAGATTCCTGAGTTGCTTAAGTACTATCCACTTTGACACTATAGATACAGTTCGCACTATGGAATTTTTTAGCTGCTTAGAAATCCCCTCCACTTCTGCCTCTACTTCAGCTCTGAGGTCTCCATTTGCACCTTATCTGCATACCCCACCCACATCTGTATTACTATCCCCTGCCAGACAAACTCCTGCATGTGATATCAAACATGTTGTCCAATCCACTTTCAAAAACCAGAGTTCACAAAGTTCTTTGTTTCACTCTCCAATTGCACCTTATCTGCATGCCCCACCTACATCTGTATTAGTCAAACCTCTGCATGTGATATCAAACATCTCTCCCAACCTACTTTCAAAAACCAGAGTTCACAAAGTTCTTTGCTCTTTCTCTTTTTCTCTCTCCAGTTGCACCTGATCTGCATACCTCACCCACATCTGTATTACCATCCCCTGCCAGTCAAACCCCTGCATGTGATATCAAACATCTCTCCCACCCCACTTTCACAGACAAGAGTTCACCAAGTTCTTTGTTGTTTCTCTCCTTCTCTTCCTCTCTCCCTGTTTTCCTCTTCTCCTCTCCCTGCCTTCCTCCCTCTTCTCTTGACTCTTCATTGTAACTTTATTGACAACAAATTCCATTCTCCTCTAACAAATTCTGTTCACCAATGTCATAGTATGGGATTCCCCCATATCTTTCCCTAAATCCGA